CTATAGCTGCCAGTGATTAATTGTACAACTCTTATTGTACTTTGCTACATGTCGAGAACCGTATACTTACAATATGGTTAACTGTTTTAATTTAATACAAAACTAATTTAATTTATTGATATGGCTAATCGTTTTAAATTAAACGTATATTGAAATTAAGTATGTCTTTGAATCTCCCAAAACCGAAAGATGATTGAATTTGTGCACTGATTTAAGTGATTGTAAATGTCCAGTACACTTTTGATTTCACTTATAATTCGTACACAAACAAATAAAACGAATAATAAAGTTCATAAGCCGTGTACATTACCAACATTCTAAATGTCAATTAGAATATTAAAAGGAAACAATAAATGAATAAATAGTCTTAAAGGATCAAACAATCGGCACTCGATCGGAATAAAAGCTTAAAGCTCCCGATGAAGGGATTGTCGACAAAGCTTAAGGAGTTATAAAAAATAATAAAAAAAACCGCCGGCGAATGTGACAATGCGACTGAAAAAGCGTTTCTTGTGTTGTGCGCTAAACACAATGCCGATACAATTCCGAATTGTGTTTGTGGTAAGGGTGACATTGTGCAAAAGATTTTGTGTCGCCAGCCATAAGCGACAGCGGTTTCATTACAACGAGTAGGAAATGTCGACTTATATTAATATGTTATTCCACAAATATCATTCTCTATAATTTTTCTATTTCTCTTCTCTCTTCTCTTTCTGCTCTTCAGATATTCCTCTAACACACAAGAAAATCTACGTTTGCAACGAATTATTAACTTATTTGTTTGTGATCACAAGTGACAGGGTCGTTTTCTTGATTTCTTTTTCTAACATACATTGATTAGGTAATATATGTTTAACTTGTTACCGACAGCGCGGCAGCCAAAAATACAAAACACTTTTTATTCTAACATATCTTTATTTAAAACTTATTTACACAAAAAAATATACGAAAAACTTAAAACTCCAAACTGTGTCTATCACATTCTTGACTTCTTCTTTTATATATATTCTTTTATAAACGATTATTGCCTTGGTGGCCAGTATGCAACCTCTTTGGCTGTATACATATTGCTTGTCAGCCAAAGAGGTTGTATTTTGCACTCAACAATATATACTAGATTAATAGTTTGTGTTCGTCCTTTATTTCAGCTTCAGACTTTCTACTAACCAAACTCATTTCTCTTATTCACTTGTACCACACGACAATATACTCGACAATTTGTCAATACCTTAAAAGGCACTTGATTTGACAGAAAACTTGATTGGACACTGTTCTGGTGTATGGGGCGCTCTCAATGAGCCATGCCATGGGAATTCTGAACCACTTCTCTGCTCACATCACAAGTTTTAATTCGCATTCATAATTTCAAAACATATGTGAGTAATTATGTTGTTATACATACACCATAGTAAATACAGCACCATTTTAAAACAAAACAAAAGTCACTAATTATGTAGTACCATATGTTACTTTGCTCATATAAAACAAGTAGATATTAATCATTAAAATATATTGAAGAAATAAATATGTTTCTATGTAAACAATACCGTTTAACTTTGTGCTATGTTTTTATTACATTTAAAACGTTTTTTTAAACACTTTATCAAATAAAAGTCAATAATAAACATCGTGCAAGTGTTGGCGGGAAAATTGTCAATTTCACGGCGCCCTGTAATTAACGAAAAAACTAAATGAAAGGGTTCCTCCCTCACTAAAACGCTTGTCTATTCCACACTAATAATATTAGCCTTCGTACGGAGAGTGCACGTGCGAACTACCCTGACTTAAAAGCTTTCCTAACATGCTTTATTAACTTTTACTGGCCTATTTGGACGGTGTAACGAATCTCGAACCGACGGATATTACCGTTAATAAAAATAAATAAATGCAATCAGCATATAACAAGGTTTAATCAATGATTTTAGCCTTGTCAAATTCCTTTCTTTTATTAGAAAAAAATAATTTTAAAAAAGGAAACGTTAGTATAGTTCTTTCATATAATACTACTAAGTAGATGACAAGACAATTAAAATTAAAATCTTAGATTAATGGTTAATGTGCAAATAAAGTAATATTAAGTACTATTTTAACTATCAATTAATAAATAGTAGTACGATTAGGTCGATGTCCGACGTCCATTAAAACCCGTGCTTTGATGTGTCAAGCACAAAATTACACCGGTGATGACTTGACATTTTGAGTCCGCGGCATTTTTTATAAAAATACTATTAACTTTATGTTGGTTCTGACAGGTGATATACTGAAATAGCGAAAAAAAAACTATATAAATAATAGTCTAAATTTGAAACCTCATTTTTAAACCTAGCAGACTAAATTGATAGATAAAGTAAGACTCACTAGAGACAAGTAATTCATCTCGCAAGTATCAACTCCAAATAACTGTATTTCGTATACTTAAAGATTCATTAGAATATAATAAGAAAGTGTACAAAATAACACTTGAAAGTCAATTATAAACACCGGAACAGAACTTAAGCCATTTTAAATGTACTTCTTTTCATTAATGAAATATTCCGAGACACCAAATCCAATTGTAACGAACAAGTGAACAATGCACGTACTATGTGAGCTATCGCCATTCAGTCATTCAGTGGTGGCGTAGTTTATGAATGAACGTGAAAATCATGAATGGAATGGACAAGTGCGTCCCGCCGACACCAGACAGCCGGGCGACATTGCTTCGTCGTTTAAATGACATCTTCTAGGAAACCATTGTCCATACTCCGCCCCGCACCCCTCCCTGCACCCCCGCGCCGTCCACCTCACCCCCTCGCGGCGCAGGTGGTCATTAAATTACCTTTCCGAGCTCATTTCCGTTCCTTTATTGGATTTTTGCAATTGACTTTTGTGTTTGAGATGAATGACCACTGCTAGTCGTAAAAGAGATTCTAAAGTACTCTGCATTGATAAAAGCACATATTAATTCTGTTTAATTTACCTAATCCAATTTACTTTTTAAAATCAAAATCTAACGCAAATGTATAGTTTTAACTGGAAGTTCATAAACTCTAAAATAGATTCTGATACTAAAACATGTAAGTACAGAAATATCAAAAACACCCTGAATAACGAACTGGGATAAAATCTAAACAAAAATTGATAAAAAACTATCCATTCACCTGGTTGTCCGTCGACCCCAGCCGCGCCATCGCACTGCAATAACACAATATTCCCCAAACGCGACCTGCCTCATAACCCTTTATCTCTATCTCTGGCTATCTGATTTGCGAGGGCGTCTATAATTCCCATTCTCAACCTTATCTATAACGAAACAAGGTCTACATACATTTGCAAATGGTGTGTAGTGAAGCGGCAATATTTGCGATACATTGTTATCCGCTCTTTGTTGCCGCGAATTCGTGATTATGTTTGAGTTTGTCAGATTTCTACAATAATAGCGGATCCGTTGTGTTTAAACAAACAGACATTAGCTACTTTTTCGTGTACCGACGTTATTTTTTTGAGAACCTTCTTTTATCTCCATTCTAATACAATAAACTGGTAAAGAGTTTATCGTATTTTTTAATGTTACTTTTTAAACTTAGATTGGTGGCTTAATTTTAATCGCCTGATGACGACTCTAATTTCAGGAATTATAAGTAGTGAAGAATTTTAAACTGAGTCAAAACAGCTCAATCAAAAATACCAGACTTTAGAACACTTTAGAAATAAAATTTTGCTCATTGTATACGTTAATACGAGACATGTAAATTAATGGGGAACGAACCTATAAAATTTACCAATCCTTTGCCGAGGAGTTCAAATAAACGAAGATATAAGACTGCGCGATTGTGATATATTTTAACTTCCAAAGATTTAAACATAAATAAACCACTTTGAAACCCGATTGACGTTGATTCACAACTCCGAAGCCATACAAAAGACATTTACATAATGTGGTCCCTAAATAAGACTTACACCTTTGATAAAATTCTCTGTGAAACTGAAACACTTTTTAATTTTCGTATAAAGGGACGCGAAGTAAAGTATTAAATGTATTACAAAGACCATAACAAAACACTTAGTATTCGGCGCAGTTGAAAGGCTTACTTACAAATTAATGCTGACATGATAATAACATAAATTGATTCACAATTATACTGCTACCAAACATTTGGACCCTTTCATATTTCATATCAGGTCCGCAGTCTCCTAGCAAGGGGCGGGGCTAATGTACCCTGCACCAGTATTCACCCTATCCCTGTGCTCGGAGATTTCTTTTACAAGTATCAGGATCACGCGTGCAGCATACGGCTCATATTATAGGGTATTCATACTTAATTAATACGCCGTGGTGTAGCGCAACTGAACCTTTTTGATACTTTGCATCTATACAGCAAATTGTTTTACAGAACATAAAAATAATGTCAGTCTAGGTCCAATAAAATGATTAAGCTGAACGAAATATTTCAAATTAAATTTGCATACGTAATAATTACAAATGAATACTTATTTTACAAATGAATCGATTCAGAAACTTCTGAATGAAACATTTTTAAATTGATCTCTTTAATAAGAAATAAGGAGTCTATTAAGTTACGCTTTAACAATATAATTTTAATTTTTTTATGGTCATATAAATATGATTGATATTTACTAAATCAGGTAAAATGAAAAGACAAATCTCAAGAAGTGTGCGTGAGACCGAAGTGAAAATTGGATTTAATGAGATAGATATTGGGGATGTTAGCGTCCTATACAAAATTATTCATAGCTACTAAAATGTTCCATTCATAATAATACAGTTTTTTTCTGTGCAACATCGCTGGGGCTGACGGCTCGCCGACAAAAGGGTGGGACGGGCCACGTAATTGCCAAAACGCTTCGAGTGAGGCCTATTGTGTTTGTTTACAATAGGGTGCACTAAGTGGGGGTAGTTTTTGTAATTGTTACTTTTAGAAGATCTCACCCCTCGCGGCATCGTCACCAGTCGGCCAGCAGAGGCCGCAGCGAGCACACCGCATCCCACAACCCGAGCCATGTCGCGCTCCTTCCTCGTCGACACCTTGATCAGCGACTCATCCAAGGACTGCAAGAAGACAGACATGTCTTCTGACCCACTACAACCTTACGCTACTTTCTTAGCTCAACCCAAATTTATGCCGTACCCTTACCCGGGCAATTTGAACAATTTGCTAAGCCTCGGCCTGCAGCAACAGAATCGAACGCCCGATCTGTTCAGACCTTTCTTGGAGCATCTCAACTTCCGATATCCACTATTGCACCAGCTACCTCCGCATCGCGAGATCTACGAGCAGCCTCAGAGTGAGGCGCCGCCGCCGGACACCTACAGGAAGACTGACGTTCAGGAACCGATTAACTTTGTGAGCAGAAGAAAAAAATCAGTGTCACCTTACTTACACCACCCGTACAAATCCACCGCGCTCTCGCCCTCCAAGAGTCAAGGTCAGCTATCGCCGTCGCTGTCGAGCGACAGCCGCAACGGCACGCCTAGCCCGCCGCTCGCTCACCCCGAAGAACTCCTGCCGGGATACTCTAAAGACTTGAAGCGGCTCCCGCTCAAGGAGGATTCCAGCAAGCGGATCAGAACCGCTTTCACCGGTACCCAGCTGCTAGAATTGGAGAGAGAATTCTCGATGAACATGTATCTGTCGAGACTGAGACGTATCGAGATCGCTTCGAGGCTGAAGCTCTCCGAGAAACAAGTGAAAATTTGGTTCCAAAACCGTCGAGTGAAGTTGAAGAAGGAAGAGAGCCCGGTGACCAGCGCCGACGGCAGGACCAACAAGTGCTGCTGCACCAAGGCCTCGTGCAGCTCCAAGAGTTCGGACGCGGGCTGCGACAACGACAGCGAGCACATAGACGTCGTTAGTGATAATGATAGTTACGAAGTTCAAAATCTTTCGCGGTACTCTTGAGATAAAAAAAGTAGTTTTTTGAATTACATTAATATTACATGAAAAATAAGAGATCATTGCAAGTTTTAATGTAACAAAGACTGAATTAATTAGAAAGACACTGTAAGATACTTTCCTCATCACATTTTATCTACGGTTGTGAATTTTCTTGTAAACTTTGAGTGATGTATTATTTAAAGAAACTTCAAGTGGTTACTGGCCGCGTACAATCGGCTGTTTGTACAACAATGCCATTAAAACTTATTTATAACGATTCGATTCGAGGAACTCGACTCTAAACAAGACAATGGCCCTTCGAGTTATTCGAAAATTGTTATACCTGTAAATAGATATAATTTATGAAAGAGACTGTTTGAAATCTGTGAATTTGTATTGTGATTAAGAGAAATTGCGTATATTTTGTGACATAAATTTACTGGTCGTTAGGTATAATAAATTTTATGAAGTAAATTAAATTGTTTGATTGTATATCACGGGAGCGTCGAGTCGCAAGGCTCGAGGTATTTTTATTGGCGCCGAGCTGGGGATTAGAAATTTCATAAAGCTGTTTGGTATCTGGATGACATAGTTATCAAATTCCAAATGACAATTAGATCTTGTCCCTTTGTTGTTCATTTGTAGGAGGGAAGCGAGGCGAGGGGAGGCGAGGGGAGAAAATATTATTGAATTCTTCTTTTGTCAATTGTCATTTTAATTTAATGATTGATACTCGTCAATTAGTTTCATTTAGTGGGTAAGGTCATGTTGCAGACATTACTTACATTAATTAAACATGTAAGTAATCAATTTAAGTATAACCTCTTTTAACGAACTTTTTAGAAGTTGTAAATAAATTGGCGAATTGTAAAATGTTTTTACTCCATTAAAAGAAAAAAATAATGTTTACGAATAGTATTATAGCGATGTTAATTTTACATTTACTACGAGAAAATCGAGTTATGAAGGAAAAATACATGTCAATGGAAAAATTGATTGCTTCGTTCGGTTCAATGGAGAGGCGACTGTTTGCCTCCGATTCCGGGAAATCCTTTTCTTTATTGAATCACGTGTCAGTTGTAGCCGACGACCTCGCGACGTCGACACGACACGACAACGAGACGACATTCAGATTGGAATGATCAGTTTCTCATTTGTTTCTTGAGAAAAACATAACGTCCCTCAGGCCAGATGGTTTCTGCGCGCGACTAAGCTTTGTAAAATATAACAAACTAAATGTGCTTACAGTAAGTACCATCTCTCTTATCTTGATACAGGGCTATTTGAGTATCTGAAAACCATCAAAAACTGTTTTTATGAGTATATACTATACTAGCTGTCGCCCGCGGCTTCACACGAAAAAAAAATAGTAGCCTCTGTGTTCTTCGTTCCATTCACTTTATGGATTTAGTAGCAAACATCCAACCATCCGTCTAGACTTTCGCATATGATATTAGTAAGAAATAAGATAATAATCAAACAAATATAACTGGGCTAGTAATTATATACGCCGTTAAATAACATTTAATGTTTCCAATAATTCGATTACTTCCTCCTCAATTATCGCATTAGCAAGCAAACACAGCAGCTCGGCTAACTCTCTCCCACGGCCCACGGCCCACGGCCGCCATGTTTGCGCAACTACCATCATCCATCCAAAATCAAATAACGTAATTATTTGTCGAAAACATTTATCTTTGGAGCACGCGGCCTAATCTATTACCGTTGAATTTCTAAAATAATTCGATTCATAGATCTTAACTCCAAAGCATAAGGTTGAGAATTGAAAATCAATTAAGTTTACCAAGCGCATGAATGCTGCACGTGCAGGATCACGGCAACACAATTAACAATGCAAATGAAATTTTGCAGTATAACGCTTATTTCTTAAGTAATAAGAGTTATATTTGTTTGATTGACTGTCTATTGGCTGCATATTCGTATAGCAGAAGCCATAAAACGCCACGCGTCCGATTTTCATTGGTATCTGTTTGAGTTCGGAAAGCCATTTTGAATGCGGAATTTGTTTTTCATCAGCATATTATTTACGTCCGAACTCTGAGCTGTCGGCGAGTCGTTGTTTGTGATTTATTTGCTAAAGCGATTTCTCTGCTAACGACTGAGGGTGGAGAGGCACACACGTCATTCATGTACCACAATCTGTAATGACGTCAAAACATTGTAATTGTAGGGTAAGAGTGTACTTAGTCTCGCTTTGATTCCTAGAACGTTATATGGAGGTGCGTGCACTACTCGATTTTTAGTTGTGCAACTAAACAGTTGAATTGTCTGCGAAACAATCGACAATTGCACAACAGTTGTGCGAGAGTTTAGTCAAAGGTGCGCCTGCTCCTAATAAAACAAATGACAACGCAGTCCTTAGAAAAAAATACTACTGAGATTGAAGTCTCTATTGAGATGACCGTTTAATATTTTTTGTTTAAAAAAAAAGAAATTGATTGTTGCATGCCAGTTTATCAACGTTGTGAGCTCTTATGTATGACATTCAATAAAGTGGTAACAGTTACGTAGACAATGATATAATTAAACATGCAAACACTGAACAGTGGCAACATAATGACAGAATCATGCAAATGTACACTTTGTTGCATTGAAACAGTCCTCGATGTGCACAAAGCATTCGTCAGTAACGCACTAACTGACATCACGTCTTGTTACGCTTCCTTAATTATTTGCTACACCGATAATAAAAATACAATGCTATCATTATAACTTGCAAATACTCCTGAAAGTGAACCTTATTGTTTACGAGATAAGAGCGAATAGAGAAATAATAAAGCGTAAAATAACTATTCGATAATAAATCCCGTATCACGCTGACAACCGTATGTTTTGTCATTCCTAATAGGTCACAGCTTTCAAAGCGTATGTTTCCATATCAAATTCCCTGCAAATTAATTTAAACTTTATTGCAGATATTGATATAGTTCAATTTGGAAGAAAACTTACTTGAAATATTTTTCGCATGAGAGTAAGTTTGTTGCACCAAAATGAACTCTAAGCACTCTAAGATTTAAAATTATTTTTGAATACATTGGAAGGTTGGAGTTAGAACATTGTAGAATCGTTGCTAGTGTAGACGGCACAATAGAATGCAATATCATTTGGTAGCGGAACGAACGGATCGGGTTTGATCCCTGATAAATGGAAATTTAAATTTGTTTCAAAGTGTGTTTGCTAAACAAAGTTTAGATCGGAATTGGATACGGTGTCCGGTGTGCAGTACATTTGCAGTGCGAGAACAAAGTAACATCATTTTACATTCATTGTATTTACATAACAGTTAATATAATTACTTTATTAACATAACAGCAAATTAATACTGTACTCTAGCTCTGATTGCAAACCTAAATCTTCTATTAAGCCAAGTTTGATAATAGGAAATCCTTGTACAATTCTGTTCTAAACACTTTCCGCCTTACAAATAAACGCAGTACAAAGTTAATCTTCGGAATAAACTGAATATAAGCACGCGAGATTACGCGTTTATTTGTAAGTTTAATTTTGTTTTATAGTAGCATCATTGTTTTTGCTGATTAAAAAAAAACAAAACCGACTTCCAAACAAAATACACGAAAAACAAAACAAAATACACCAAAAACAAAATATTCTCAAAAAAACAGTACA